ATATATATTTATATTGTATATATATATATATATATTTATACGCACTCACGCACACATACACACATATATATACATATGCGAGTAACATGAGCTAGTAATTATTAATTTGAATATTGAATTAAACATTTTATTTCCTTTTCTTCCTTTTCTTTTCTTTTCTTTTCTTTTCTTTTCTTTTTTTCTTTACTTTTCATCGTTCGACACGAAATATAATAACGATCGATGAGTTTTATTTTTGTTACAAAAAAAGAAAAAGAAATGAGGGAAAAAAAAAAAAAAAAAAAAAAAACGCAACGGCAATGGAAAATTTATTTCGAAATATAGAAAATCTTAATATCGGATTAGAATCAGTTTATTCTCGTGACGATTTATTCGCATCAAAGGATTTAAGACGTAAGTACTTAGTTATGTTGGCCGTCGGCAAGGTTTAAATGCTCTCGGGAAACAGGCGTAACATACAACACACTCTGCTTCAACGGCACTTTCATTCTTTATCATTATACGATTGTCCCTGATAATTAAAGTTTTTCTTGACGGACCGAACATATGTGTGTGTGAAAAGAAGTGGTGGATGAGGATAAGAGTGGGTGGGGGACGAAGGAAAGGAAATAAAAAGGTAAAAAAAGAAAAAGAAAAGAGGGGAAAAAATGGAAAGAAAAAAGAAAACGAAAGAAGAAAAAGAAGAAGAAAAAAAATGACCTGCCGGGTTAGACAAGGGCCTAAAAAAAGAAGATGTATAGGAGGTTATTTTTTTCTCACGTCTTATTTTTTTTTTACTACGACCGAGTAAATAGAAAAAAAGAGAGGTCGTCGTCGGCGGTTATTTTTCGTCGATAATAAAAAGTCGAATGCCCTTCGTATGGATTACGCAAAAAGTTCATTCGGAACCATCTCTTTCTCTCTTTCTCTCTCTCTCTCTCTCTCTCTCTCTCTTTTTTACGGTACTTTTTTCTTTTTTCTCCATTGATCCCGTAACAATGCGTACGCATGTTTTCACGAGTATCTATCTTCTTTCGTCTACTTTTTTCTTTTTTTCATATTCCTTTTTTACCCTCGCCGTTAGAAAAAGAGTGAGAGAGAGAGAGAGAGAGAGAGAGAGAGAGAGAAAGAGAAAGAGAAAAAACGGCGAAGGTAAAGGTTCGCGTCACCGTCAGACGAAAAAGATGTTGCAAGTTCGTCACCCTCTGTCGTAAAAAATGAAGAGAAAGAAAAAGAGAGAGAGAGAGAGAGAGAGAAGGTAAAAAAAAGGAAAAAAGAAGTGATTCAACGGTAACCAATTTAAGGATAATCTTTCGAAAAAAAAAAAAGAACTTCAAGGCCTTGGTCATTTCGTGATTTTCCTTACCTTTTCCAAAAATAATAATAAGGTACATATTTTTTAATGCGCGTACTAAAATGTCCGACAGAATCGACGCTCGTAAACATTAAATATTAGGTAAAAAAAAAAAAGCTGTCTTCAAACGTAACGTTTTTTTTTTCCATTTTTTCTTTTCTTTTCTTTCCCCCTCCCCCCTCCCCCATTCTCATTCCCGTTTTCTCTCTTTCTCTCTCTCTCTCTCTCTCTCTCCCCCCCCCCCCCTCTTACTCTTACTCTCTTTCTCTCTTTCTCTGTCCATCTTGTCTCTTTCTATCTTTTCTGCGTAAGTTACGACCTTTAATCGCCGCGATTAAAGTGCGCCTCTCATTACGTCTCCTTCGGCTCGACTCAAAGTTATTTTAAGAAACGACACGACGAGCAAGGAATCCTTCATCCGGAATTGTTGTGCAATACTCATCGAGTTTACTATCTTAGACGAAGACGCGGACGATGAGTACGACGACGAAGACGACAATGATCAGATGATTTCTTGCTTTTAATGCATCGGATTCGCGGAAAAGGAATAAAAGATCATTTTGGGTCGCGTCCGAGTGTAAAGTCGATCGAATCCGGATCTCTTGGATTATTATCGAGAATGAAGAAGAAAAAGAAGAAGGAGAAGAAGAAGAAAAAGAAGAAGAAGGCTTCGAGGGACGTTGAACCTGAGAGGCTCTTGGCGTTGCGAGATCGTCAATCAACGCGATTCTTTCCGTCGACGTGAAGAAACAGAAAGAGAGAGAAAGAGAGAGAGAGAGAGAGAGAGAGAGAGAATGAGATGGATAGATAGAAAGAGAGAGAAGAAGCGAGGGTGTTGGGGGCTGTTTTATCGAGAAGGTCAACGCGAGAAAGGAGGACGAGAGGCATATCTTCGATATGATTCCCTTTGAACGTTGGAAAATAAGCTGCCGTGATCGTTAGCATCCAGTTGCTGATCGAGAGAGAGAGAAAGAGAGAGAGAGAGAGAGAGAGAGAGAGAGAGAGAGAAAAAGAGAGAGAGATGACTGCAAGCCGACAGCCAGAAGTCGCTACGATTCTCACGGCTCTCTCTTAAGCGAGGATCGCGCAACGACGACGTCGATGATCCTCGGTGATCTTGACGATGATCGCCGGTGTCGGCGTCGTCGCGATCCATTCTCGACGATAATCGAGAACGCTTATTACCAAGAGAACGCGCGCGCGCGTTTAACGAAGGCCGAGACCAAGCAGCGAATCGATCCTTCGGCCGATTTCAAACGCTTTGACGTACTTTCGAATTAACGTAATAAGAAGAACGGTATGCTTACTTAGAAAGAGAGAGAAAGAGAGAGAGAGAGAGAGAGAGAGAGAGAGAGAGAGAGAGAGAGAGAGAAAGAGATTATAAAAATAGTGTTGAGAACATTTCTATCATTTGTCGTTCTCTGTTTTGTATATTTAAATGTTTATTCACTTACTACCACTTTTATCTCTCGTCTTTCTTTATCTTTTTCTTTCTTTTTCTTTTCTTCCTAATCTGTTTTGTTCTTTTGATTTTTTTGATTTTTTTTCTGTATCATTTTTTGTTTTGTTTTGCTTTTTGTTTCTTTCTTTTTTTAAAACCAAATAGGATTTCAATTTTAATATAATTATTTATTTAAAAGTATTGATCGTAAGTCTAATCAAAAGTGCAACGATGTGTTATAGAGAGGGAAAGAGAGAGAGAGAAAGAGAGAGAGAGGAAGAGAGATTGAGATCGAGATCGAAAAGTTTTCAATCGAAATCGAGCGAATCGAGAGAACGATTTCGAGGAAGGCGAGACGATCGAACCGCAGCGATTACCACATCCATCTGTTTTTCGCGATGTGAACTCGAAAACGTTCACAAGTCCGTGACAGTGTTCCGTTACGAAAATCTCAGTAAATGAGAGGGTGGAAGAGAGAGAGAGAGAGAGAGAGAGAGAGAGAGAGAGAGAGAGAGAGAGACAATACGAGAACATAGAACGTATGTACGTAGACAATATACGTACGTAAAGAGAATGATCGATCGATCGATCGATCGATCGAACAGATCTATTGTCGATGATTTCAAAGTATACTGAGTAGGAGAATAATAGAAATTGTATGAAAGTCGTTCGTTCATTGATCTGTCCTCGTTGTACTAGTCGTTGTCGTAGTTATAGTAATATAGTGCTTCGTGTTTGAAGGCGGAAAAATAAAAAAGAAAAAGGAAAAGAAAAGAGAAGAAAAGGAAAAAAAGAAAAAAAAAGCAAAAAAAGAAAATAATCGAAGGCGGAATTAAAATTATACGCGTAGGAACGTCGTTTCTGGTACGAAACTATGCTCGGCTATGTTCGGCTCAGAGCTCGAACGAGAAGTGTCAACGACTGTGGGGTGTAGGTCAGGAGAGAGAGACTCCGTTGATCAAACATTCGATGTCTCTTCCATTAGCTAAGATTTACTTTCCCATTTAGCGACAGTCCGTCATGTATGAAAGTCGTCGAAAGAGAGCCTACGAGGGAACGTAACGTACTCTGGCACGTACGTGCGTATCTCTACCTATACGCGTACATGCATATATGTATGTATGTATATATGTGTATATGTGTATGTGTATGTATATGTGTATGTGTATGTATATGTGTATGTGTATGTGTATGTGTATGTGTATGTGTATGTGTGTGTGTGTGTGTGCGAATGTTGGTGTATATACGTACATAGACGAGATACGTATACTTCGGGCCAAACACGTATGTGGGTCATCACTATTGTCCCATATTTCTTAACAATCTTAACTTTTGACATTCGCCCGTTGAACGAACGACGAATAGGGATCAAAAGAAGACCATTTACAAAGAGAGACAGAGAAATAATAGAATTTTAAATTTTTCAAATGAAAAGATACATCAGTACCACCGATAACTTAAATAACGTGGAAAATAACGGAAGTAAGAAAAAGAATGATAGAAAAAGAGAGAAGGAAGGAAGGAAGGAAAGAAAGAAAAGATAGATAGATAATTGAACGATTAATAATAAGATATGGTGAGATACGATACGTTTTAATAATAACTTTGTTAATTGGATGTGAAATATGATAAACGATATTCCTCGAAAAAAAGAAAAAAAAACAAAAGAAAAAAGAAAATAAAGAAAAATAAATAATCTGATACCTGTCAGGCAAAAAATAATTTATAACGTTGATTATAAATTTTCTATAGATATGTTAAAATTCTAATCATGCAATACAATGTTAAATTCTAAATCAAGGTAAAATCGTCGATGTGTGAAAAGGAGGAGGATCGAGAGTAGATTGCGTTGCATTTTCCGGATGGACGATCGAAAGAAGGCGAAAAAAGGATCTCGGTGTAAACGTAGAAAGGACATTGAGAGAGATAGAGAAAGAAAGAAAGAGAGAGAGAGAGAGAGAGAAAAGAAAAGGAAAAAGAAAAGACAGGGCAAAAAAAGGAAGGAAAAAGAGGAGAAAGAAAGAAAGAAAGAAAGAAAAAAAAAGCAACCGTGCACAAGAGTTTTCCGCTCGTTGAACGTAACACGCACCGCTTTGCCACGATTCAGCGATTCGCGCGCGCCAAGCGCAAAGAGCTCCGACTATTGCACAATCGCGAGACTCTTCTATTTCCCAATCGTGTGCGCGATCATGGTGTCTATTCGGTTTGTAATAGCGACCGATAAAATTCGTCACTTTCAAAGTTTATCAAAATAATAATAATAATAATAATAATAATAATGATAATAATAGTAATAATAATAACAATAATTAATCGATCTCCATTCGTCGAGTGACTCATTTAAAGAAATCGATTAAACGAAGAAATATTTTTCTTCTTTTTCTTTTCTTTTTCTTTTCTTTTTTTTCCTTCTTTTTTCTTTCTTTTTTCTTTCTCTTTTTCTTTTTTTGAAGATAGAAAAATTTTTAATATCGCTATTCATCTTAATGAAATAATTAATTAGACAATCCCATGATAAACATCAGTTCATATTGATAATATTGGCAAATATTTCCGAAAAAAAGAAAGAAAAAAAAAAAGAAAAAAAAAATTAGAATTAACCTTGACGATTATTGCGAAAAAAGAAAAGAGAAAAAATACGAGATAGGAGACAAAAAAGAGAGAGAGAGAGAGAGAGAGGGAGAATAAATAAATGGAAAAAAAAAGAAAACAAAAACAAAAAGATTAGAAAGTCTTAGAACGATATATCGTAGCTCCGGCACTCTCGATGGATTTAACTCGAAAGGAATCACGCTCTTCCGAGCGTCCCATCGTTGTTTGAATAAAGTGAAAAAATAAACACTTTAGTTTCTACAAATAAGTCGCATAAAAGCGTACATCGTACACCACCTCTTTCATAATTCTCCGATGTATTTGTACATTTATATTCAATCGTTTATATTTTCGTGCGCGTCTTCGCGTGCGTCTCTCTCCGTGCGTTTATGTACATATATATGCGAGCAATGTGTTTACGTATGTGTATTCTATATGTGTTTGTATATACCTGGGTGTATGAACTCGGGATCATGAACTCGAACGAAATGGCAAATGATGATAAAAGTCCTTCTTCTTTTGTTACAGATGAATCAGCAATGCAAGGTGTGCGGCGAACCCGCGGCTGGCTTCCACTTTGGCGCGTTCACCTGCGAGGGCTGCAAGGTGAGTTTCTTCTCACGAGATCAACAAAAAAAGAAAAAATAATAACAATAATAATAATAAAAATAAAAAAATAAAAATTACAGAAGAGTAGAAAGAGACAGAAAGTGAAAAAGATAGAAAATGAAAGAGGCGAAGACAGAGAGAGAGAGAGAGAGAGAGGAGATTAGCTCGTACAAATTCGCATTGAGTTTTCCTCGCTCGTTCCTAATTCCTCCCACCATTCTAAACCAGCAGCAGTTACTCGCAAACGACGTCGTCGTTCTTTCCCGTGATTTCGCAAAACACCAGCAGTACGACGGCGATCGCTTTCACGACCCGTTCCGTGGCCGAGGTTAAAAGCGTTTGGCCAAGCATGCGTGTCAACCGTGTGGCAGCGGGGGCCACCTGCCCAATCGATTAGAACTGATTAGAAACCTATCGAGAAACTCAATCGTCAAATCAATTTTCTCCAATCGTTCATTATCCTACAATCGGTCTGAACCGATCGAAATTGATTTCTCTCTGACTTAATTTAATCAACTTTTATTTTCATTCAATATACATATATTCGTCTTATATATCTAATTTTATTTACTTATTCATCATTCGTTTATCTTTATTCTTACCTCCTTTATTTTTCTTTTCTTTTATCTATTTATCTTTTGTATTTCACTTTCTTCATTCGCATTTGACGAAACTCAAATAATAAATATATCTGTCTATCGATTGATTTATTTATTTATTTACTTATTTCTTTATTTATTGATTTTTTTTAACTTCTTCACGTGTTTAAATCGCAATGAATTTAATTTCGTTAGAAAGGCGAATCATCGGTGTCTGACTTGACTGTAATCTTTCTTTGCTAATCTCTAAAGCGGGGCACGGATCGCGAGTTCTAACTCGAGCGTAAAGCGCGCGATCCTACGTGCAATGGAGGGAGAAAGACAGAATGAGATAGAGAAAGAGAGAGAAAGAGAGAGAGAGAGAGAGAGAGAGAGAGAGAGAGATAGAGAGGGGGTGGGAGAGGAGAAGGGAGAACTGACATGCTACGGTGGGCCTGAAAACGAAAATAACGAAACGAAACAATGTCGAGCTGACGTAACCGTGAACTAGGGCGGAAACAATTGTGGCGGACAAGTGCGAAGCGCCGGAAGCATCGCCTCGAGAGACTCGAACGAAATCGAGAAACGGGTGCACGTGCGCTCGCATCTCTCAGGGCCGTGTTCTCTCATCGTCGATTTTATTTTATTTTATTTTTACTTTTTTTCCTTTTCTTTTCTTTTCTTTTCTTTTCGCTTCGTTTCCTTTCGTTTCGTTTTCATCATTTTCTTTTTATTTTTCTTTCTCCTTTTTTTTTTCGTTTTTTTCTTTTCACCTCGAATCGATCACATTATAACGAGTATCACGAGTCCGATTTCTACACGTCCAATTTTCATAATTTCATCTTGATCAGAGAAAAACACGGGGAAATATCATTGTCATATACATATATATATTCTTTAAAAATAGTATTTACTATATAGCAAAGAAGATGCTACTCGTAGAATTT